CTGGGGCCGTTATGGGGCCATCTCGGAGGCCTCTCGGGCGCTCTGGGGGGCGATCTTGGGAGCCTCTTGGGCCGTCTCGGGCAGTCGGAAGGCCGAAAAGAAGCAAATGCCAGAAACCTTGAAACACCTACAGACAAATCAATGATGTTTGTCACTTCGGGCCCTCCTGGAGGACCTCTTGGAGGCCTTTTGAGCCGTCTTCCAGGCCTCTTGGTGGACTGCTGGGCCGTCTTGGGCCGTCTTTTGAGGCTTTTCCAGCGACCCTGGAGGCATCTTGGACTCTCTTGGGCCGTCTTGGCGGCAATCTTGGACCATCTTGGGCAAATTTGAGGGCCATCTTGGCCGTTTTGGAAGCCACCTTGGGCCATTTTTGGGCCCTCTTGGAGCCATCTGGAGCAGGAGACACCCCTTCGCAGCCGGGTCTGGGCATGGCGTCCGGGTGGCCGGCGCGCTGGGCCGAAACCCCAGTGGAAGTCCCCTTAGCAGGAATCCCACAATTCTGAGAGGTCAAAACGACGCGAAGATCGGGACAAAATCGGATGGGGATAACTCGAAATCTCTGAGAATCGGCGGGTTTGGAGGATGTATTGGGCGCCGCGGCCGCTCCAGAGCGTTCCGGAACGCTCTGAGAGCGCTCCGGAACGCTCTGGAGCGATTTATCCCGATCCTAGCTCTGTTTTAGAGGTCTAGCGCGCCATGCACCCCTGTGATAAATCAACAGGGGGGCGGATCGAAGACGCCTGCGGCGAATCGCCACCGCCCCCCGCCTTTTGGAATCGCCCGTGCGGCCGAGCGTTGTGGCAAGAGCTCTGCCAAGCATCGGACGATGTGTTCCCCCAGCCGTCGTAAAAGCCTTCGGGGAACACCACTTGGGGGAGGATGGCGGGGAAGATCAGGAAGAGGAGGAGGAGGGGCCATCGTGGGAGCCTCTGGGGGCACTCTTGGGGCCTCCTGGGAGCTTCCTGGGAGCCTCTTGGAGTCATCTTGGGGGCCTCCTTGGGCCTCTTGGGGGGGGCCTTCGGGGGCTTCTCGGGGGCCTATTTGACCGTCGTAGGGCAGTCCTGGCCAGTCTGACGCCGTCGGAAGCCGTCTTGGCAGCCTCTCTGGGTCGACTTGGGGCCCTCTTTGGGTGCTCGAGGGCCGTCTTGCAGGCCATCTTGGGTGTCTTGGAGGCCTCTTGGGCCGTCTTGGGGCCCTCTTGGGGCTGTCTTGGGGGCCTCTTGGGCCGTTCTGGGGCCATTCTGGAGGCCTCTTGGGCGATCTTGGGGCGATCTTGGGGGCCCCTTGGGCCGCCTCGGGTCGTTGGAAGGCCGACAATAAGCAAATGCCAACATCTTTCAAGTACCCAAGAACCACTGATTTTGGCCTCTTCGGGCCTTCCTGGAGGTCCTTTTGGGGGCCTCTTGGGCCGTCTTGGAGACCTCTTGGGGGCCTCTTGAGCAGTCTTGGGCCATCTTGGAGCCATCTTGGGCCGTCTTGGTGGGCTCCTGGCCCGTCTGACGCCGTCGGAAGCCTTCTTGGGATCCTCTCTGGGCCGACTTGGGGCCCTCTTGGGGGTCCAGCTTGGGCGTCTCGGAGGCCTCTTGGGCCGTCTTGGGGCCTTCTTGGGGCCGTCTTGTGGACCTCTGGGGCCGTTCTGGGGCCATTTTGGAGGCCTCTTGGGCGATCTTGGGGCGATCTCTAGGGGCTCTTGGGCCGTCTCGTGACGTCGGAAGGCCGAAAAGAAGCCAATGCCAGAATCTTTATCACACCCAAGGGCACTCCATGATTTTGGCATCTTCAGGCCTTCCTGGAGGTCCTCTTGGAGGCCTCTTGGGCCGTCTTGGAGGCCTCTTGGGGGCCTTTTGGGCCGTCTGCCGTCATCTTGAGGCCGTCTTGGGCTGTCTTGGAGGCTTCTTGGCCGAACTTGGAGGCATCTTGGACTCTGTTGGGCCGTCTTAGATGCCATCTTGGACCATCTTGGGCGAACTTGGAGGCCATTTTGGGCGTCTTGGAGGCCATCTTGGGCCATCTTGGAGCCATCTGGGCCGGGAAAATTTTGGCAACCAGGTCTTCCGGATGGCCGGCGGGACGGGCCGAAATTCCAGGGGAAAACCAAAACGTAAGAATTCTAGCGCGCCGGACACCCCTGTGGCAAGCCGACAGGGGGCGGCCTGAATTGTGAACCAGGTGCTGCTTGGATGCCGCTTGGGATCTTGGGAGGTTCTGTGTACTAGGGCCTAGGGCCTCTTGGGTGCTTGTTGGGAGTTTCTTGGAGTTTATTTTGGGAGCCTCTTGGGGGCCTCTGGGAGCCTCTGTGGGGCTTGCTGGAGGGCTCGCGGGGGCCATTCAAGTTTTGCCCTCTTGGGGGCGTCCTCTTTCAGCCACGCGCAGAAGGGGGTTGGGGGAGGGGGGAGGGCTTCTTATAAGCACCCCTGCTTCTTAGACGGCGCGGGCCTTCTCTATAGATGTAAGGCCGGTGCCTTCTAAGAAGCAGCCTCCTTCTAAGGAGCCCTCCTCCCTCCCTCCACCCCCTTGTGCGCACCGCCAAGTCTTAGACGCTCTTAAGACCGTGCAGGCTTCTTGTTGTTCGGTGGATTTGGCTTTTTCCGGCCCCCAGGGCTCCGGCGCACGGAGCCCCCCAAGGAGAGCTCGAAGACGGCCCTTGTCAGGAGGGGGACAAACATACAGACACAATTAATCGTCGATTCCCCAGAAAATATAGGAAAATATGGGAAGTGGGGGGGACGAACACCTAGAAAATATAGGAACATATTGGACATGCTGTTATTTGTTGATATTTTTTGGTGTGTCCCTGGGCCCCTTCACCTTGGGACTGTCTGAGAGAATGCTGGAGTTTTGAGTGCCTGGCCACGCTCCGCAGGCCCTTGAAGACGTCACGCGACGAACCGTCAGATCGCCCCGCCACGCCCTGGAATTCGGAACATTCCTGGGCCTTGGGATCTGGAGTGGAGTTTCCAGTTTGCAGCACGGAGAGGTGGGACCTGAATGGGACTCCAATCAGTGCGGCACGGTGGCAGATCCGTCGGTGTTCCTGAAAACGGCTAGCTTCGAAAGGAGTTGTTCTCAGGAGAGGAATAAACACACAGACACAATTCATCCTCGATTCCCCGGAAAATATGGGAAAATATGGGAAGTAAAAAAAGACAGAAACCCAGAAAGTATGGGAAACTGTGGGGAATCTTTTTATTTGTGTGTATTTATTTGTGTGTCCTGGGGCCCCTTCACCTTGGGACTGTCTGAGCACTGAAACCTGCGGTCTCGGGATCGACAGATCTACGCAGCCTGGTCTCGCCCGTGGGGCTGCAGGACGTGGGCCTCGCGTCCGAGACTTGGCCCACTGGGGGTCTTATCTGAAGTTCCTCCTCCTCCTCCTCCACCTCTTCCTCCTCCTCCTCCTCCTTCCTCCTCCCTCCTCCTCCTCCTCCTCCTCCTCCTCCTCCTCCTCCTCCTCCTCCTCAACGCTCAGCGGATCTGGATTATGTTGTTGCGCTGCGTGCCTTCCGTGTCGATTGTTGAATGCGGACGCGCGCGCGCGTGTGTTTGTTTGTGTGTGTGTGCGCGTGGTTTTGTATGTGGGCGTGGGCTCCCGGCATCCAGCTTCTGCCGAGAACTCGTTTTGGATCTGCTATTGTTTCGCTCAAAAGGTTCTTGCTGTCAGCCGGCTGCGGCGACCATTGCCAAGTTGTCGTTTTCATCAGGACTCGTGCACGCATTGTAACATTGGCCTTGGAAGTTTCATCAGAACCACGGAGAAGGGGAGGGCTCGTGATGAAAGGATCCAGCAAGAAGCTGGTGAGCTTTGAGACCCACGGCGCGGTGTTCTGAAACGCTGCTCAACGCACGCCCTCCCGCTGGGATGCTCTCCACTGTTGCATGCAGCGCGCTTCACACCAATCGAGCGGTGGTGCTTCGAGCCCGCTGTCTCCGGTAATCTCGACTTCTGGTCTTCAGCCTCTCATGCCGGCCCGCCGGGTCCGCCGCGCCCGCAGGGGTGCATCTTTCTCCCCGCGATTTGCCCACGAGCCAGGTTGGCCCACGGGGGTGCGAAGACAAACGCGCTTCGCGCGTCGCGGCCTGGCAGGGCTCATTTCGATTTCGGCGGCTCCCGAGTCCGATTCGATTTGACTTCGCATTCCGATTTGGGCTCCGATTTCTCATTGCAGGCCTACCAGCCTGCCGATTTTTCCACCGATTCGACTTTCCCCGACTCGGCTGCCGTCTTCCGCCGATGCGATTCATTTCGATCGCCGATCCGACTCATCGACTCGATTCTGAGCTCTCCAGCCTGGACTGCAGAGCCGCTTGTCTCCAGAGGTGCCGCGCGAGAGTGCGAAGACAGCCGCGCCTCGGGCTTCGTTCGGCTCGGAGCGCGCAGCTGGTTGCCCTGGGCGCCGACGTCGACGGTGATGCAATGCCCGGCGGTGCTGCGCGGCAGTCGCTGCTCGGGGGCGGGCAAGAGGGGGGTGGTGACCAGGGGGGGGGGTGGATATCATGGCGGGGGCCATTATACCTCACCAGATTTCATGGCGCCCCTTCTTTTTTCAATGCGTCCCTGGCCCCCCCCCCCCCCCGGGCCGCGCACATGCCGCCGGCCATGATTTGCTCCCCCTCTCTTGGACGCCCCCCTCTTGGACGCTCCCAGCTGCTGCTTCTTCCTCTGCTGCCCTTGCTATGCGACTGCAGCGAGGACTGCTGGGCGCTCGTGAAAGTGTGAACGGCCGAGGCGATGTCCACAGGGAGTGGGGAGTTTGATGTCTTGCTGCTGCTAGGCCGCCCAGATGGGGTCGGAGTAGATGGGGTCGGAGGATCCCGCCGCATCGCCAATGCATCGACGATTCGGCTCGATGTGGAGCCCGTGTTTCCCCGCGCCGGCGTCGCCGATGCATCGCCGATGCATCGCCGATGCACCGGCGATGCATTGGCGATGCGGCGCGATCCTTCGACCCCAGCGACTCGGGCCCAATCTAGGAGGCCTCTCGTCTTGCTCGCTGGCCGAGGTCTGCATCTTGATGGACGTTTGCAGGGGAGGGGACCTCATCGGGGCCATGGAGAGCCACTGGGAGCAGGCAGCTGCCGACAGCGCGCATGCCCTCCTCATTTGCCGTCCCTCCCGCCGCTTCTCTCTTCTTCTCCTCCTCCTCCTCGTCCTCCTCCTCCTCCTCGTCCTCCTCCTCCTCCTCGTCCTCCTCCTCGTCGTCCTCCTCCTCCTCCTCCTTTTTCCCTTCCTTCTCCTCTTCCTCCTCCTCTCCTCCTCCTCCTCCTCTTCCTCTTCCTCCTCCTCCTCCTCCTCCTCCTCCTCCTCCTCCTCCTCCTCCTCCCCTTGTACTTCGTCTCCTTTTCGACCTGCTCGCTGTTTCTTCCCTTTCGGCCTCGCACCTCGGTTACCTCCCATGTCTGCTCTCCTGCCAGCAACTCACGACCCAGCACCATCCTAACCCAGCCCGAGGGCCCAAATTTGCCCTCCACTCCTGGTGAGGGGGGGTGTCGGGAAACATTGAAAACACACAGATGGAAACTGACCCCCCCCCCCCCCAGCCCGAAATTCGGGTCTTCGGGTTGGGGTAGGGGTGGTCTGGCAGCTCGTCCGCAGTGGGATGCACGTACGTTTCTAGTGGCCTGCGGCCCAGCCCCTCTTGGAGGCGGCTTTTGGGGGCCTTGGGGCCTCTCGGGGCCTCCAGGGAGCACCCCTCCTGGGGCCTGCTTGGGGCCTCTCGGGGCTTCTGGGGGGGCCTCTTCCTTGGGGGCCTGCCGGCGGTCTCAGGGGTCATGCTGGGGCGGAGAGCTCGAAACATCAGTTCGAGTTCCCTCCCTTGGGGCCGTCTTGGGCCGTTCGGGGGGCGTCTTGTGCAGTCTTTGGGGGCCGTTCTTGGGTCGTCTGTCGGTCCTCTTGGGGGCCTCTTGGGTTGTCTTCAGGCGATCTTGGGGCCTCTGGGGCCGTCTTGGAGCGTCGGGAGCTCGTCATGGTCAGAACGCTAAAATCCTTGATGCACTTATGAGGACTCAGGGATTTTGGTATTTTTGGGCCCTCTTGGGGTTCCTATTGGAGTCCTCTTAGGACGTTCTGGGGGCCTCTTGGGCCGTCCTGTGGCTATCTTGGGCGTATTGAGATACTCTTGCACCATCTAGGAAGCCTCCTGGACCGTCTTGGGGGCCTCTTGAGAACCCGTCTTGTGGGGCCCCATCTTGGGGCGGGCCCTCTTGGTCCCGGGAAAATTCACGCGCGCGCCACGCATCCGAGAATCCAGCAAATTGGGGTCCTGGCGCCTTATTCCTCATTCCTCAAGAGCGAGGACGGAGGGCTCAAGTGACCCGAGGACACTCCAACTTGTGCATCGAGCGAGCTACGGTGGTGGAGGTTGTGTATGTATATATATATATATATACATACACACACTATATATATGTATATATACATAGGTTCATGTGTATCTCTCTCTCTCTCTTTTTGTTTGCTTCTTATCTATCCCTCTCTCTCTCTCTCTTTCTGTATATGTAGTTGCTGGGTGCAGACCGAGGACGCCCACGGCGAGCCGCCGCCCACTGCCTTTTGGACTCGCCTGTGGTGGCAACACGTGTCAGGAGTGCTAGCGCAGGGTGCCTGCGCGTGCGTGGCAGGGTTTGCCACTGCACCTCGCAGAGGCGAGAAGCGGCACTCCCTCCTCTCTCTCTCCCCTGGCGGGCCCGGCGCGTGCGAGAGCACGGCCCGCACGTGCAGCCGTTTCAAGCACGGGCGCCATGGCCGAGGGCCCAGGCTGTATATCTGGGCCCCCCCCCCAACAAAAACAAAACGAGAGGTCGTGCGATGCGTTCCCGCAGCCATGCACCCCGCGTGCTGCAGCAGCGTCACGATAACAGCGCAGGCACTGATCCGCACGAGTGCCTTCGAAGAACAAAAACTGCAGAGTCATGATGTGCTGGAGCACCGCACGGATGTCTTGGATCTGCGCTGGAACCCCCTGGCGGGGCCTCCGCCGCTGCTCCTGGCGCGCTCCACGCGCCAGCGAGGGGGTTCAGGTCAGGCCCACGAGATCCGCGCGTACCTCCAAAAGTTTAATGCTTGTGCGGTTTTGTTTGCTCTTCCCTGCCTGCAGCGTGAGGCATCGGCGGCCAGCAGCCGACGTCACAGCAGCGTTTGGCAGAGTGTCTCGAAGCGGCTCTGGCCTCGGGGCTCGAGGGCAGCATCCCGCAGGCGCCAGCCGTTGGCAAGCGCTGGTTGTTGTCCTGTTGCATTCTCGCTCTCGAAGAAATCATTATTGTTGATCCCTCCTCCGTCGGTGCACATTGTGTTTTTCCATTCAAGTGCCCCCCCTCGGGGCTCGCACCCTGTCTTCATCAAATAATGCCTTCCTGCTCAAGCTGTTTGGTTGGCCCTCCGGCTGCAATAGCAACGGCTCCCGCCTGATGCTTCCTCACGATTTATTCCCAAATCGCGCTCTCGAGCGGGACTTCGCAATTTATGCAGGAATCGCGCTCTCGAGGGGGATCGCCTTGCAATCTATTTAGACGCCTCGCCCTTGACACTCAGAAATCACGCTCTCGCTATGGATGGCCTCACGATTTACTTGGGAATTGCGCTCTCGCTCGAGACTTACTCGCAATTCATGCAGGTCTCACGCTTCAGCAACCCGCCTGCCCCTTGTCCCTTCCTTCCATCCGTCATCTCTTCCCTTGCCTTAGGGGCTGCACGAAATGCACGTTGCAGGTAAGAACGTTACACCCCTAAGGGGGTGCGATCGAGGACGGAGAGGGCGGGTATCGAGGGTTTGGGATACACGTGTTGAATGGCACGCGAGCGGGTAAGAGCGAACAGTCTTAACATGATTGTGCTTGTTGTTGCTGCTGCTACTGTTGTTGCTGTTGTTGTTGCTGTTTTTGCAATTGTCGTTGTCGTTGTCGTTGTCGTCGTCGTCGTCGTTGTCGTTGTTGTCGTTGTTGTTGTTGTTGTTGTTGAACATTATTACTTCTAAAGAATAATTATTGTTGGGGCCCCTGGTGCACGCCCCCCCCGCCGCGCCTAGGCCGCAGCCACATTTTCATCATTTTCGTGAGGAAGCCTCAGGTAAAACGATGTGATCCAGATCCGGTTGTTTTGTTGTAATCCGTTTTCCCTTGCAAAAAACACTATAAAATGACATTTCTTGTTCTAACATTTCCAAATTTCAAGAATCCCTTGCAAAAAATAAGGTAAAGTGGACATTCGCGCGCGCAAGACGAAATCCTTCCAAAACCTTAGTGTTCGTAGCGATTTTAACATAAAAACATCAAAAAACCAATGGTTTTTCAAAAAAAAAATGTCAAAATTTCATCCCGCGCGCTCTTGCGGATTCGTAGGAAACCCAACACTTTTTAAACATTTCTGTCAAACGGGCTTTTGCGAGCAACTTTTTCGAACTTCTGCAACAACGGTTGCGCACCTGCCAGGGCCATCATCCCTGTCAAATAATACCATGCGGGACACATTCGTTTTTTCTTCGCGCGCGCACGCCGTCGTCGTCGGCCGCGGGGCCCTGAATAGTAGCCACGGTCGTCCGCATGCCACGAAGTGAAGTGTCCGAACGTCATAGGGCGGGAAGCTGGGTGTGGGTGGTGGCGAAGAGTCGTTTGGAAATTTGGTAGAGCTTGAACCGGCCCCCCCACAAAGTGGGGGTATTGCCCGCCTCCTATGAAAACCCTGGCACTGGTGAGAACGGAGTGTCCCCACGTGCTAGTAATTGTTGTTGTTGTTGTTGTTGTTGTTGTTGTTGTTGTTGTTGTTGTTGTTGTTGTTGTTGTTGCTGCTGCTGCTGTTGTTGTTGTTGTTGGTGTTGATGTTGTTGTTGCTGCTGTTGTTGTTGAATTGGTTGTTGTTATTGTTGTTGTTGTTGTTGTTGTTGTTGTTGTTGTGGTTGCTGTTGTTGTTGTTGTTGCTGCTGTTGTTGCTGTTGTTGTTGTTGTTGTTGTTGTTGTTGTTTTTGCAGTTGTTGCTTTTTTCAATTGCAGTGCCCCTCCTTGGGCTCACACTTATTTTTTTCAAAGTATAGTCTTGAGCCTCAGGCTGCACCCTTGGCCCTGGAACTACAACAACCACAACGACTCCCGCCTGGTACTTCCGCACAACTTATTCAAAATCGCGCTCTCGCGAGGGACTGCTCACAATTTATATGGGAATCGCGCTCTCGCGTGTTTTCTGCTTAATTTATTTAATCGCTTCGCTCAATCCGCCAGACCATTTTGCGCATCGCTGTCGGCTGTCCGAGTAGTCGTTTGCAGTGCGGAGCTGGGGGGGCGGGAGCTATTTTCCTGAGGCGTTGCGTTCGGCATGATGTCGGGGGAGGCCTCTTGGGTCTCTTGAGAGGCCTCTCGCCGGGCCTCTTGGAACCGCTTGGGAGCCTCTTGGGGCCTCTCGGGGCCTCTTGGGAACCTCTGGGGGCCTCTCGGGGTCCGCTAGGGCGGGCTTCTTCGGGGCCTCTTGGAGGCATCTTGATGGTTTTGAGGGGCCTCTTAGGGGGCTCCTTGAGGGCCTCTTGGCGCCTCTTGGAGCATCTTAGGGGCCTCTTGGGGTATTTCGTGGCTCTCTTGGGAGTCTCCTGGGCCGTTTTGGTGTGATTCTTGATGCCTCTCTAACCGTCTCGGACGCAAAATGGTGACATGCTAAAATGTACATGTTCCGAAGGGAATGGGCAGATTTGTGTTTGTCGAGGTTATCTTGAGAGGCCTCTTGGAGTCCTCTTGGGCCGTCTTGAGGCCATTTAGGATCTAGGGTCCACTTGGAGCGCTCTTGAACCGTCTTTGGGTCCTCCTGCATCTCTCTGAGGCAGTCTTGGGGGCATCGTAGGCCGTCTTGGAGGCTTCTGGAGCAATCTTGAGCGCTCGTGGGGCGCTCTGGGATGCCTTGAAGGTCGCACCCGGGAGCAAAGCCATCTCTGACCCGAGTCTGCCAGGACCTTGCCGGGACCTTGCTGGGACCTAGGTAGATCTACAATTCATCTGGTCCTGGAGATCTTAGCACGCCTTGGGCCCGTTGGGCCAGGAATCACGCCTTCGTCTAGGACATCTTGACGATTTACTTACTTGCGAATCGCGCCATCGCTCGAGACTTCCTCGCGACTCCTGCAGGATCTGCCGCTTCAGAGAGCCGTCCGCTCGACACCGTCTGGGCCCGCCCCCGCCCGACCCGTCCGATGGGGTCCGCCGGCCCTACCCGCCCATTTGGTTCTAGCGCTCGTTTCGCTGCCCACTAATCCCCTCCTGCTGCTCGCGAATCTCTGCCGTGCTCCATCCTTCCCTCTCCCCCTGGTGCCTTCCCTCCTCCCTTCCCCTGCTCTTAGGGGGCTGCGTCAACGACGCGTGGCAGGTAAGGGAGCTATACCGTCAAGGGGGGGAGGGTAGTATCGAAGAGGCGGATTTCGAGGATTTGTGGTATACGTGTTGAAGGACACGCGAGCAGGGAAGAGCGAACAGTCTTACACTGTTTGTGGTTATTTTGCAGAATTTGCATTTCGAAAAAAATGTATACTGTTACCCCCCCAATGCCCATGGTGCTTTTTCAAGTAGAGTTCTCCGATATTAGAAGAGTCTTCAGGATCCTACAGTCTGCCTCAGGATCCTTGAGGATTTCTCAAGGTCCCCCAGGGTCCAAAGGGTTCCTTCGGCATCCAGAATGCTTCAGGATCCTTGAGGATCCTTGAGGTCCTGAGGCTTCTATGATGATTCATCAGGACCCCTCCTCAGGATCCTTTACGTCGCCTGATGGGTCCTTGCGTGGTTTTTTGGGGCAGGATTGAGTAAGAGCAGGGAACGCTCCTCCTCTTTCACCCCCCCCCCGAAACGACTGCGACGCCGAAGTGTCGGTGTCAGTGTCGGTGTCGGGGGGGTGGGGGCGCGGCCCCACGGGTCGGCAGTCCAGAGGTTCACCCACAAGGAGACGGCGTGACCAGCCGTTCCGTGGACAGGGCCTGCAGCCTGAGTGTGGACCTTGTTGTTGTGGCGCCAGAGGGTCTCGCGTCCTGTCGCGCGTTGTCCCCAGGGTGTGTTGACTACACGTAAGTGTGATTTTTTGCTGGAGTGACCTTTTGGTGCGGGCCCAGTGTGGGGTCTCCCGATCGCCGAAGGCGATGCGACAGTGGCGTCTTGCGCGCCTGTGTCTGGCCCCCCCGCGGCCCCCAGCCGGCCGCGCACCAGTGGTGGCTCTTACCCAGGGCAGCTCTCGCGCGTAGGTCGAGTGCGGAGGCCCGCTGCTCCGTGCCGTCTCGCGCCTCCATCGCGGGAGCGCCATCCTATGGACTCGGGCCCGCGTGGCGGCGACGGGTCCCGGGCCCGTGCAGATCGGGCGCGCTCCATGGCCACGCGAAGCCGGCATTGGCCTCGCTGTTCGGGGGGCGCCCTCCCCGATCCGTTCGCAGACAAGCGAGGGCAAGCACGCGATGGGTGGATGAGATTCGGGGGTGGAGAGGCCTCCTACCCTGACACGTCGATTAAGGGATTGGCCGTTTTCGTTTCGCGAGAGGGCGTCGCGGCCGTCATTTTTTCGGGTCCAGGTCCTTCGGTTTCGGTCCCAGGCCGTTTTCACCAGGTTTGTCCACCGCCGAGATATACGCAGGTATGCGGAGATGGTCTTGGGAATTGCCGCCGCGACAGATGAGCTGATCGACGTGGCCGCAACACCATTGTGGAATGAGTTGGATCATTGCTTTGTGAATCGTGAGTGAGCCTGATAGTAGCGACCCTTGCCAGCGGCATGCATTAGTTGCCTTGTCGGGCGCTCTGGCTCTGCCCCGCTGAGCCCCCCCGCAGATCCACGGATCCGTAGTCCATCTCAGCGTGCGCCCGACCCCAGGCCGGAGGGATCAACAGCAGAGATGTGGTCCACATCTGCCGGCAGATGGCCGTTGCGGTCGACTACCTGTGCGCGCAGGGCATCGTGCACCGCGACATCAAGGAGCGACGGGGGGGAGTCAGAGAGGAGCAGGCACAGGCAGGTGCGTGCTGTGCCGACGCGTCGGGGACCCAGCCGCGGGCGTTCCAGGTTGAACGCTGCCAGCGGCCCAGAATCGACCACTGCGGAACGATCGGACGATCGAAAGGCTGTCAGAAGCCAACGCCGAAGTCGTCGCGACACGACCCTGCCGCACTGATACTGGATGCCCTTCCCCTGGCCTTTGAGTTTTTGGGGCCTCCTGGAGGCCCTCGACGCCACAGCGGGCTCCTGGGAATCCTAGTCAGAACGCACCCTGGGATGTCCGTGGAGCAGCGGTATTGGGAAGGCCTTGCGGCCGGTGCCGCCGACCCTGAAGGAACAGGACAACGACGACGCTGACGCTGTGGAGCCCTTCTTGGGCTCTCTTGGGAGCCTATTGCGCTCTGTTGGGGGTCCTCTTGGTGGGACTTGACGGGAAGCTCTGTGGCCACTTGGAGCCTCCTCGGAGCGGATCTAAGGCCTCTTGGTTGGAGGCATGTGGGGAAATACGCAGCATCCCGCAGCAAGAGATGAGAGTGAGGAGGGTGCCTCCACGGGGAGAGGAGGGGCCGGGAGGAGAGGGATGGTGGTGGCCCCCTTGTCCACGGTGGGGAGGCGGGGGGAGGGTCTTGAACTCCCCCCTGTGCACAAGGGGCTCCAGGGGTCGCGACGTCGCGACCCCTGGGACCCCTCCGGGGACCCCTCCCGGGACCCCTCCTGGGACCCCCCTTCCGCTGCCCTCCTAGGACTCTCCACTGCCAGTGAAGGGATCAAAGGGAAGAGGCTTCCCTTCGGATCAACTGCGATGTTGTTTGTTTTCCATCTGGCTGGATCGCTTGAGGAGGGGGGCCCAGGGAAAGGGGGGAGCGGCGACGGCGACGACGACGACTCAAACGGAAAAACGTGTCACACACGCCGGCAGGGTTGGCGGATTTGCTGTCCTTTCCCTCGGAGGGGGGGGGGGAAGACCTCTCAGAACCGCGGGGATCTTGGGTCGGGGCAGGGGCCGTCAAAAACAACGACTCTGGAAGACAAGCTGGTCCTGGGGAAGTGGTCTAGACCTTTGGGGGTCTACACTGCGAAAACATCACGATGTCCAGAGTCTGGGGATGGGGGGAACGGGAAGTACATCGGCCACGTGCAGAGGGGGGGGTCGGGGGAGGAAGACCGGCTTCTTGGAAGGACGCTGCCTCTTAGAGGGCGTGGGCTTTACATCCTCTTCCTAGATAAGGCCCGCGCCCTCTAAGAACCAGCCTCCGTCTAAGCAGCCTTCCCCCCTCCCTCCTCCTCCTCCTCCTCCTCCTCCTCCTCCTCCTCCTCCTCCTCCTCCTCCTCCTCCTCCTCCTCCTCCTCCTCCTCCTCCTCCTCCTCCCCCCCGTTCCCTCTGCGCGCCGCCCAAGGAGGGCTGCGAACCCTGCCGCGTGCAGAGCTGGCTTCGGTCCCGCCGCCGCTACGGGGCCGCCGCCGGTGCCACGAGGCGCCCAGAAGCTCAGCTACATTCAGGAGGGGAACAAACACACAGACTCAATTTATCGTCGATTTTCCAGAAAATATGGGAAAATATGGGAAGTGGGGGGGAAGACAAAAGCACCAAAAATATAGGAAAATATGGAGAATCTTTTTATTTGTGTGTATTTATTTGTGTGTCCCTGGGCCCCTTCATACATGCGCTGGTTTGCCGACCCCCCTGTACCATCCCCGCCTTTCGTCCGCACCGGCCCGAGTTTGAGCATCGTTCCGATCCCTGTCCCCGCTGGCGTGGCCTTGGCCCCACTGGCCGACTTGCCCCTCTGGGCGGGGATCTGCGCCTGTTCCTCCGGGCTTCGTGCGGCCTATTCCCCGCCTAGGAGTGGGCCGCTGGGGCTGACACAGCATGGCCCAGTGGAGATGCAGGACTCTTTTCGACTCTTCGATTCCGTTCGATTTCGATTGCTTCCGATTCCGATTCGATTCGACTTCGCATTCCGACTTGGGTTCAGAATTCTCAGTGGAGCCCTACTAGCCTGCCGATTCCCGCCGATTCCACTTCTCTCAACTTGCCTGCCGATTTCCGCCGATCCGATTCGTTTCGATCGCCGATCCGATATCGGTTCGATTCCAGATTCTCTTTGGATGGGTACATTTCGGTATCAAATCATGGGAGCCTGGTGTACCTTCTGAATTCCGTCTTTAGCGTCGATTAGCGTCGATAAGTGTCTGGGAGTCGATGATATAGCGCCGGTGTAGCGTCGGTTACCGTCGATTAGCGTCGACCAGCGTCGATGTAGCGTCGACTAGCAACGATTCGCAAGAGCTGACAAGATGGTATGGGAGGCTCCCGTGAGTTGCCACCGAAGGTACAACAGGTTAGGCGGTGCTGCCGCCTCGCGCCCCTGACGCGCGTCGCGCGCTGCCCTTTGCGGCCTCGCGCCGCCCCTCTGGAGAGGGGCGCGTCTCCAGCACCAGGCCGTCGTCGTCGTCGTCGTCGTCGTCGCCGTCGCCTTCGTCGTCGCCGTCGTCGTCGTCTTCGTTGTCGTCGTCGTTGTCGTCGTCGTCGTCGTCGTCGTCGTCGTCGTCCTCGTCGTCGCCGTCATCGTCGTCGTCGCCGTCGTCGTCGGGCCCACATCCGCTCAGAACTGGGTCCTTTGCCCCTCCTGGGGTTGCTCCAGGCCAGCGCTTCCGAGCCGCTTGTGGGCCTGGCGAGGAGTACCGCCAGAGACGCCCACGAGCCTCCTTGGACACGGCGACGACGACGACGATGGCTGCAGTGACGACGTCGTCGGTCGTCCCACACGTCCAGCGGCTCGTTTTATTCGAATCATCAGAGGATGAAAAGGTACCCATACCGCTACCCTTCCCTCGTTTTCCTCGTTTTGGGCCTCCTGGAATGTCCTCGTCGCCACCGCTGGATTCGCTTCGAAATCTTGGTCAGAACGCACCCCAGGAGAGGTTCGGGGAGTAGCGGTATGGGCACCTCTTGGTGCCCCCAGATCATGGGTCCCTGGACCTCTCGTCTCCACCCCCTCTCCCTCGGCCCAGCTCTTCTTCCCGAGTCGTTGTCTTAATGGTCCCAGGGCTCGAGACGGGTTCGCAGGTGCTCCAAGCCTGGCGAACGACCGATCGCCTCGATCTTTTCGAAAGCCGCGGGCTGCCTGGGCTCGTCGCCGCCGTCCTCGTCCTCCGCTCTCCCTGCGGACCGCCGTCCCTCCAGGGTCAGGGCGACCACTTGCTGCACGTGGGGGCACCGAAGGGCGTCCACACCGCTACTCCCCGGACCTCCCCAAGGGTGCGTTCCGGCCAGCCTTTCGGGAGAGTCCAGCCGTGGCGACAAGAGCTCTCCAGGAACTGAGGCATCGGTACCGCTCCCCCTCTGAGGATGGGCCGCCGAAGGCCGCTGACTCTAAGGCCGCGGAAAGGCCGCGTCGTCGCCGTCGCCGCCGTGGTGAAGGCCGCCGAAGGCCGACGTCTCGGAGGCCGCCGTAAGGCCGCCTTGTCGTCGTCGTCGTCGTCGTCGTCGTCGTCGTCGTCGTTGTCGTCGTGGTCGTCGTCGTGGTCGTCGTCTTCGTCGTCGTCGTCGTTGTCGTCGTCGTCGTGGCCGTCCGCTGCCCCTCCGTGGGCGGTGGGGCGACCACTTCCGGCTGGCCAGGCCGACTCGAAGGCCGCCGACTCGCAGGCCGCCGAGAGGCCGCCTCGTCGCTGCCGTCGTCGCCGTGGTCGCCCGCCGCCCCTGTGGGTGGCCAGGGCGACAACTTCCTGCTGGACAGGCCGCTGCTCTCCGATCCGGGCTGCTGGGTGGCGCTGGGCGACTTCGGCACCGCGTGCGAGGCGCCTTTGGCCGCAGCCGCGGCGGCGACGGCGACGGCGACGGCGACGGCGACGGCGGGCCGATTTTGAGGAGGAGAAGGAGGAGGAGGAGGAGGGGGAGGAGGAGGAGGAGGACTCACACCTCCTACGTCACGGGGAAAGCGAGACGACATGTTTTTATTGGGGGTGGGGGTGAGGCCTCCAGAGGCCAGTGTTGGAACCTGCGACTGTAACAAAAACGACCTGGGTTGAGATCTCGATTCCCCCGAAGGGAGGAATCGAGAGATTCTGGGCCCGACTTCGGGAAAGAATCGTGATGGCGGAGGTCTAGGAACGAGGGCGAGGCGGACGAGGACGAGGGGGGAAGGATGAGGGGAGGGAGGCAAGCTGGGTGGGCTAGCGTCACATCTGCAGTCCTACCCGTCCCTCCCATCTCTTACCACTCACCATGGCTTAGGTCTTCTATCTATTCGCACGTCGGATCTCGAGCAGGGCAAGGATCCCAAGAGGCTACGCGATGGATGAAAAAGCATAGTGTAGAAGATCACGGCAGAGCATAGCATGTCATAGCATGGCGTGGCATGGCGTAGTGAAACACTGCATCACAAAGCATGGCAGCGCAAAGCATGGCATCGCACAGCGGTGCACAACACAGTATCGCATTGCATGCCGTGGCATGGCACCGCATGACTTGGAGGGTAAGTAGCCCGTCTATGACAGGACAGGGCCTATCCGGAATGCTGGCTCCATGTCCTTTGCAACCGTGCCTGCCCGATGCGGGCGCTTTCGACTGCCAAGTGCCGTCCAGAGGCGCGGGAACGAGGCCAGCGCTGCAGCGGGAGCATGATTTGAATGACCGAAGCGCGGACATGAGGGCGGCGCTGTGGCGGGAACACCATGTTGGAAGAACCAGAAACGACCGGATGGAAACAAACACATAGAGAAAACCAAGCCATGAAAGCTTGTGTTAATTACTCCGACGGTAGGACCCCGCATGAGAATCTGTTTCGCTTACCCTTTGTCCTTTCCTCCTCCCCCTGGCGGACACCCTCTCCTCTCGCCCCCTGCACTGCCCTCTCTTCCCCCTTCTATTTCTCTTCCTCCTCCTCTTTCTCCTCCTCCTCCTCCTCCTCCTCCTCCTCCTCCTCCTCCTCCTCCTCTCGCGCCACCTCCTCCTCGTCGTCGGCCTCCCGCATGCCCCTTCCCTCCTCATCCCCCTGCCTTTTCTCCATGTGCACCTCCCATTCCCCCTCGTCGGGGCAAGCAAATCCAGTTTCCTCAGCGCCGTCGCCGCCTCGGCCAGCGCGCGCGCGTCTGCCGACGGCTAGATCGCGAAACCGTCGGGACAAACCTTCGGGCTGGGCCGTAGGCTCCCGCTCGAGATTTCCTCCGTATTCAGGTCTCAAGAGCCCAAAAGTGACGACAGTTGCACGTTGCGGATGACCCGCTCGGATTCGAACATGAAGTGCGGGCCCCATAGGGAGGGGGCTCCCGCCTGAGACTTCCTCACAATTCACTCACAGACGAGGCTCCCGCTCGAGACTTCCTCCATATTCAGGTCTCAAGAGCCCAAAAGTGACGACAGTTGCACGTTGCGGATGACCCGCTCGGATTCGAACATGAAGCGCGGGCCCCATAGGGAGGGGGCTCCCGCCTGAGACTTCCTCACAAGTCACTCACAGACGAGGCTCCCGCCTGATACTTCCTCCATATTCAGGCCTCAAGAGCCCAAAAGTGACGACAGTTACACGTTGCGGATGACCCGCTCGGATTCGAACATGAAGTGCGGGCCCCATAGGGAGGGGGCTCCCGCCTGAGACTTCCTCACAATTCACTCACAGACGAGGCTCCCGCTCGAACCTTCCTCCATATTCAAATCTCAAGAGCCCAAAAGTGTCGACAGTTGCACGTGGCGGATGCCCGCTCGGATTCGAACATGAAGTGCGGGCCCCATAGGGAGGGGGCTCCCGCCTGAGACTTCCTCACAATTCACTCACAGACGAGGCTCCCGCCTGAGACTTCCTCCATATTCAGGCCTCAAGAGCCCAAAAGTGACGACAGTTGCACGTTGCGGATGACCCGCTCGGATTCGAACATGAAGTGCGGGCCCCATAGGGAGGGGGCTCCCGCCTGAGACTTCCTCGCAATTCACTCACAGACGAGGCTCCCGCTCGAGACTTCCTCCATATTCAGGTTTCAAGAGCCCAAAAGTGACGACAGTTGCACGTTGCGGATGACCCGCTCGGATTCGAACATGAAAGTGCGGGCCCCATAGGGAGGGGGCTCCCGCCTGAGACTTCCTCACAATTCACTCACAGACGAGGCTCCCGCTCGAGACTTCCTCCATATTCAGGTCTCAAGAGCCCAAAAATGACGACAGTTGCACGTTGCGGATGACCCGCTCGGATTCCAACATGAAGTGCGGGCCCCATAGGGAGGGGGCTCCCGCCTGAGACGTCTTCACAAGTCACTCACAGACGAGGCTCCCGCCTGATACTTCCTCCATATTCGGGCCTCAGGAGCCCAAAAGTGACGACAGTTACACGTTGCGGATGACCCGCTCGGATTCGAACATGAAGTGCGGGCCCCATAGGGAGGGGGCTCCCGCCTGAGACTTCCTCGCAATTCACTCACAGACGAGGCTCCCGCTCGAGACTTCCTCCATATTCAGGTCTCAAGAGCCCAAAAGTGACGACAGTTGCACGTTGCGGATGACCCGCTCGGATTCGAACGTGAAGTGCGGGCCCCATAGGGAGGGGGCTCCCGCCTGAGACTTCCTCACAATTCACTCACAGACGAGGCTCCCGCCTGATACTTCCTCCATATTCAGGCCTCAAGTCAGCGAGTAGTGATGATGATGATGATGATGATGATGATGATGATGATGATGATGATGATGATGATGATGATGATGATGATGATCGTTCGATGCCGATGATGGTGAGTGATCGTGCGATGGTGATGGTGATGCTGATGGTGATGATGATGATGATGATGATGATGATGATGATGATGATGATGATGATGATGATGATGATGATGATGATGATGAGTGGGGAGTGATGGTGATGGTGATGATGATGCGGAGGAGGGAGCAAAGAGGAGCAGAGGAGAGGGAGGAGGAGCAGAAATCCTGCGCGGAGGGTGTGCAGAGAAAACAAGAACCCCACTTAGGATGTGGGGAACAAGAACCCCACTTAGGATGTGGGGAATGCTGATGATGATGATGATGAGGATGATGATGATGATGATGATGATGATGATGATGATGATGATGATGATGATGATGATGATGATGATGATGATTGGTGATGATGAGTATGTGAGTGACTGAGCGTGTGAAAGAGCGCGAGTGATGATGCTGATGTTGATGATGAGAGTGTGTGAGTGAGTGTGAGTGTGAGTGAGTGGTGATGATGATGAGTGAGTGAGTGAGTGTGCGAAGGCAGAAGAGGAGAGGGGGTGGGGTGAGTGTTCCTGCGCGGGGTGTGCAGAGAAAACAAGAACCCCACTTTGGATGTGGGGGAAAAAACAATACGCGGAGAGGTTCGGGAGACTCTCTGGACAGAGTCAGTGGAGAGGAGAGTAGTATTCATATTCTGTACCTGTGGAGGGAGGAAGGAGGAGGTGGAGGAGGTGGAGGGAGGGAGGGAGGCGAAGGGACGGAGAGAGGAGGGAGGAAGGATATGCAGGAGAGGGAGGGAGAGAGGAATGAGCAGGGGGATGAAAGGACGGGGAAGATGAGTGTGAGCGATGAGAGGGAGCGAGGGAAGGGATAAAAGGATGCAGGGATGGTGGAAGAGGGGCAGGATAAGGTGGGGAGGGTGAGGATGCTCCTGAAAATCTCGACAGGTCCTATGAGGTTACAGGGGGTCTCTCTCTCCCTCCGAGACCAAGCCGCGCTTGAACCTGCCTTCGCCCTGGGCTCGTGCAATGCACGCCGAGGTTGCAAGGCTATGCTCCGAGGTATTTTGGTCCCAGGCCACACCTGAGCGTTGCGTCTGAACTTGACCGTCGTCGCTGCTGCGCCTCGCTCGAAGGTGCACGCTGCGGTTCGAGGTAGACGAGGAAGAACATACTGCGGCGAAGATCTGGCACGTATTATGGCTTCCAGCCGATCGGGTGCTTGGGGTGCGCATCTGTTTCGCACGCCCTCCAACGTGTTGTCAACAGCGTGTGTCTGTCCTCTGTGGTTTCGTGGCATAATGAGTCAGCGCATCCAGGTCACCATCGCAAATCGTTCCCAATACCACCAGGGCGCAATTTTGGACTCCTGTGAAGGCCAAGTTGGGCATCACCTGGGCACCATCGACAATCAATCGAATCAGCACCGGGACAACATTCAACACCCGTCGGGACACCATCGGGCAAAGCTGTGCACTGTTGTTCGGTGGTGTTCAATGCTATGATGTTTCTGTATTGCCCTCCTGCTTTCTGTCCGTGTGCCCCCCTTCTTTCTCCGCCTCCCCCCTCCTCGCTGGGTGTCCATCGTTGAATCAGTGTGGGCACTATCGGTACAATGTCGTTACGTCGATCGGGTCAAGCCAATCGGAACACCATCGGGACACCGTCGCACATCAAATCAATCGGCACACCGATGCGACACCATCGACAGGTACATCTAAATCGGGACACTCGTCGGGCCACTCTGGACGGAGGAGGGACAGGGATGCGGACAATGAGAGGGAGGAGGAGGAGGAGGAGGAGGAGGAGGAGGAGGAGGAGGAGGAGGAGGAGGAGGAGGAGGAGGAGGAGGAAAAGCAGGAGGAGAAGGAGGAGGAGGAGGAACGGAGGAGGAGGAGAAGGAGGAGGAGGAGGAGGAGGAAAAGCAGGAGGAGGAGGAGGACGAGGAGGAGGAGGAGGAGGCTGGTGAGTAGGCCCGATGAGGTGGAGAAAGTGAAGGTGCCCCAGGGAGGAGGAAGAGGAGGAGGAGGACCAGAGTAAACCCAAGATGCATCAACGATGCCGCCGCACACCTACCCGTCCCAAGCCCCCCCATAAGTTCATACAGGCTTTCCTTG